ATTCCATGTGGTTATAGTCCCGGAGGGTAAATAATATAGCCAATCCTTAGCTGCATCCTTCAAAGAAAACGGAAAGGCTCTTAATTTAATTTGCTCCTCTGTCACCCCCGTAGGTTTCATACTCGTGCAAACGACATGAAGTTCCTTTAAATGCTTGTGAGGATCTTCACCTGCAAGGCCATGAAAAGTGGGCAAGAGATGTATTAGTCTAGATTTCAATTCAAAAGTAGTAGCAGCATCTAAAACAGGAAACGTTATGCATAATGGTGCTTGATTCAAATCAGGGGCAGCAAGCTCTTTCAAAGTTCAATTTCCAGCCATGACGTCCTCCTCTTCTAAATCAGAGTTGCTAGCAAATTGGGAATCAAAAGACAAAGTGCTTTCCTTAGAATTTCTCTGAGCTTCCTTCCTTAACCTGCGCAAAGTGCTCTCTATTTCCAGGTTGAATGTCAAATCACCAAGATGAGAGGACCTCGTCATACAACAAAAAACCTCATAAAAGAATTAGGAAAAATAAATGACAAATAATGAAAAACCAACCAGAAAATAAAAATAATTTTTTTTTTTTATGACCAAAAACACAAAACTGGCCAAAAACCCTATCAAACGTTGTTTTTTGGCCTCGAGAGGGTAGGCTAGTGAATCCTATAGTCCTGTGCAGAATTTTGTTTTCTTCGAAACGGGTACTCTCACCACTCCTAATTCCACCAAAAATCTTGCTATGAACAGTACTTGCAAAAATTTTGTTTTTTCTGAAAAATAACAACAACGAAATCATAATCACAAGAACAAAAAAAAAAAAAAAAACTAGAATCACTTCCCGGCAACGGCGCCAAAATCTGGCATGCTATCGTAGGCACCCATAATTAAAACCCTAAAAAATACACGTAGTAGTGTGAGTAAGGATCGTTCCCACGAAGAGTGTCTAGCTGAGTTTAATGTTACGTGAACAAGGCTGGGGGGTTCTGACTAAAACAGAAATAATTTCAAGAAAAACAATTCAAATTAAACTATCGAAATCAATCAAATAACGAAACTTGGTCTAGGTCAACATCCACCATCGGAATCTTACAATTGATCATCGATACAAAAATAAATCAATTCATACCCTGAATGTTCACCGTTGAAACTATTTTCTTGTCTCTCCTATTTTCTTGTCTCTCCTTAGTTGTAATTAATTAAGAAACAAGCGATCTAATTAACCTTACTACTAAACAACCCTAGACAAGCGCTAAAGATTTAATCTAGTAGAAGCCTTAAGACCTAGAGAGATCGATGAAGCTAAACAACACAAACTCAAGCGGTTGCATTTAATTTAGTTGAATGTTCTCCTTAAGACTTAATAATTCCTGATGCAGCAAATTCTTAAACCCTAATTGCTTCACAAGTTAAAGGGATCAAACAATTACGGATTTGATATCTAACTTAGTAGTAGATTGCAACAAATAATAAACTAGTAGGCCTCCTAGTAATTAAACGCAACAATCATTAAAATATGCATAGAAGAACTTCCAATACTCAAACATAAATTGAACACTTAAAGAAAAAAATCAGATTGATCTCACAGTTTATTGATTCCGAGGTCTTGTTTCCTTCGACCAAGTTATAAAAGTTTAGCCGCTCATGGCCATAATCAAAACTCAAAGGAAAAGAAAAATTCCAGCAAAACGAATTCCAGAAGAGAGAAGAGAGAGGCGTGTGTGATATGTGTTATCCCTAATCTGATCTCCCTATCTCAATATCCAATTTGAATTTGAATTCTACTAAATCTAAATCTCCTAAAAATATTCTAAAATCCCAAAATAACCTTTATCCTAATCTGAGTAATTGAAAATAAAATAAAGTCTTAATACAGAATAGGAAAGTGGTGTTTCCAGCTGTAATTTGCATGCAACAGGTCTTCAAGACGTCCAATAATAAACTGCCTCATTTGAATTTCATGACAAGGCAGAATGTTCCAGAACATCGGCAGTGCAGATGCGTCAACTTCAAGCCCAATTAAAACCTTGATGCATCGATTATCTCTCAAAACTCAAAACATGAAAGTTGTAGATATCTTTCTTAGCGTTCCAAAGCATTTTGAATCATCTCAATCGGATCTTGGATGAGAGAGTTATGCCCAGATTACGAAACAATGTCGAAACTGTCTGAATTCACTCAATTAGTTCCGTTTTGCAATTAAGGCCTCCATTTGCATCCTAAATCAAAATAGAATAATAATGAGTATATTTAGGCAGAAAATAAGTATAAAATACTAGACATTAAGGGGGTTAAATATGACCTTTTGCATTCTCATCACTTGCAATTCATTGACATTAGTGGTCCTAATTTTGTAGCGCTTAAAACCATTGACAATTGTTTGTGGCTTCACATCAATTGACCATGCATCAACTGCATTTACAGTTTCATCAATGAAACTTATTTTTCCTGGTTCTAAGAAATGATCTTTTATCCATTTCAAAAGTAGGCAATTGAAGTGCTGAATTAAAATCCTAATATTACTAAAATATGAATTGAAATCCTAATACTACTAAAACATGAATTTAAAATAAGAAATCAAAACTATAATTTTTGTAACTATACCTCTATTAAGTTATAACCTCTTATAGTAATAAAATAGTTAGTCCCACCATTATGACTATAGAGAGGTTTTACTTATAATATATAATATTATATATTATATATTATTTAAGGCTTCAATTAACAAAACCCAGCCATTCTCTCCCTGAGCAAGCCACCTCCCATTTCTCCTCCATTTCTTCAAAGTCTTCCAAGAGAATTACATGAGAATTCATGCCTAAGTGAATATATGTTCATTTTGTGGCTTTCTAAGGTAAGAATTTTAGCAAAAGTTTGTGATTTGTGTTTTATAAGTATGAGTTCTCATGAATTTATGTGTTCATGAATCAATGGAGAAAGTGAGCAAAGGAAGCAAAGAAAAGGATTCTTGCAAGAAAAAGGTAAGTAAACCCAACCTAAGCTTTAATTTGAGTAGTATATGTGTAAGTTGATTCTTAAGTGTTCGTGTATGATGTATGATAAGAAGTATTGGCTGTTTAGATGCTTGTTTGATGGAGAATAACATGTAGAAGTTCAGCCAAGATGAGTAGTTATGTAGATGTGATGTTTTGGTTGAACTTTGGATGCAATTTTGATGAGTTGATGTTGGAATTTGGAAGTGTTGAATCCAGCCAGATTTGAAGTTAAGTTTGGTGAGTTTTTGTTCCAATTTTGGTGGATTTGGAGAGATGTGGAAGTGTGGCCAACCAAGTATTTGCATGTACACATGAATTGTTTGATGAAAATTCAAAGAGAAATGCATGCGTGAGTTTGTTAAATCTTATTGAAGAAATTGTTTGAGAAAGGAAAGAATTGGAGTTGAAAGGTTATGTTAGGCTTAACCAAGTGTAAGTTTTAGTATTCAAGAGTACATTTTGCTATGCCAAAATATAGAATATCACTTGGTCATGTTAGTTCAATGAAATGAATGGCCTTTAGTGCATGGTTCAAGTTGCTTGAACTTTTAGCATTAGTTCAAATAGCATATTGTATTTAGTCATTGAATTATGAGTTTTGAAACTTATGACTTTAGAAAAGTGATGGCAAGAATTGCATGTTAAACTGTTGCAATAGTGTAGTATTGATGATCGTAAAAGATGGGTGATTATATTATAATATTACAATATGCCACAATAAATTGTCAAGCTTGTATGCTTGAAATTAGAAAGATCATTCAAAGAATGGCTTGGCCAAATGAGTATATTTTTGTTTCTTGTTTTGAGATTAGTTATTGTTGATGCGTGATTTTTACACCAACGAAACACACGTGTGAAAATGCTGAGCTGGCTCAAAAGATACACGTGAATGCAAGAAAAAGAGAGTAAATACAATGAGAAAAGCATTTTTAAAGTGGTTCGGATGCTATGGAAGCAAGTCCGACGTCCACAATTATTTTATTAATGATAGGGGTCAGGTCGCATTAGCTGACTGACTTACAGATGATAGTACAAGCAAGTGAATGCTATAAATTATAGAGAGAGAGTAGCTAATCAAGAGTAAAAATGGGCGAATCCTTTGAATGGGAGAGAAGCTCTCTATTTATAGTGGGATACATTGGACTAATGATTATTGAATCTGTGAGTTGGTGGGATTATGCATGCAAATCCTTCTTTATGTCACATTGCCCACCTTCTAGAGTGATTTGCATGATTTGGCGCAGGGATTGGACACGTGGGATCACCACAGCTTTTGGCTGGTCTGGCACGCACCCACTATTTTGATAAAAGCATGCTGCGGGTGTACCCATGTTTTGACTTTTGCACGCTAACTGGGCCTTACGTCAGCCCTTATATTTTTCAGGCATGATAGAAGTCCCCTAGTTTTTAAGGTTTGAGGATCGAACCTTGGAAACTATTAAGTCATGCCGCGATTGGATGCTTGCGGGAAATTCTGGTGATTCTGACCTGCTTGAAAATAGGTCCGGGTAGCACTCTGCGTGAACATGACCTCGCATGGTCATTGCTTGCTAAGGATGAGCGACCTGACTTCGTCAGGCGTTACCTGTTGTGCTTTTGGTATGGGTGCATTTAATGAAGCAGCCTCTGCTCTGACAGATGTGTCATGTGCGTGATAAGTGCCAACCAAGTGCATTAAATGCGTTTTATGCTGACATGGTACCCTTTATCAGAAATTAAATGCGTGACATGCTGAAACGACACCCCTTACCAGAGCATTAAATGCAGATTGGGGCGCAATTAATGCTGAGAGAGAGAGAGTGCCGTCGCTTGAGTTTTTCAACCGAAAAAAGATGAACGTTTGATTTTCTTCAATCGTGACGCTCACTTTTCCTCACTGATCTGCAACACGTGGCTGTGATCAATGGTGAGAAATTTTTGTCGCCCAAACATCGTTTTGATTCCGAGAAAAATAGACGTCGTTTCGCATGCTATAAAAACTCAGATCTTTCTCAGGTAATGTCACCACACTCGTCTTTTTCATAGAGAGCAAGAGATTTTCGCAAGCTTGGAGTTTTGGCCTTCCAAACCAGCGTTTTTCCGATATTCGAAGTAGAAGCCATTTTCGTACTCCGAGAGGTAAGAATCTTTTTCTGCTTTTATTTTCTTATTCTCGTGGTTGGTAAATGGCGTTAATCATCTGGTAGCTCATCAGAGACGAGACGCCCATGTTGGGTTCGAACCATGAATGGCAGCTCGAATCATGCTGTTAGGGTTTTCTCTAGGTTTTAGGGAGTTTGTTTCCTTCCACGTCATCGTACGGAGTAGCGTATGATGGCTAAATGACCCCTCTGCTTGTCGCTTTTGCAGACCAGTAGAATGGACCCCTCAACGACCAGATCCGAGGAAGGAACTGATTCATCCTCGCAGGGTGCTCTGCGTGCCACTCCTAAGGTCTACTCGGTACTTACCGGGGAAGAACTCGAGAGAGTGATAAAACAATACGGTATTGACATGGAGGTTTTTCGCGATGTGGCTCGCTCATTGCGATACCCACCAAGTGGGATGGCCGCAATCTCTGAAGAGATCATCAAGGGTGGGGGATTGATCCCCTTCCACCCTTTTATCAGGTCGATCTTGGATCACTTCGGGATAGCACCGATGCAGCTCACTCTGAACGCGTATGTTATTACTGTTGCCATGTACATCACGTGTCGTGAGAACGGGCTGGACGAGCTAACCGCGATGGAGCTCGGCTGCTCGTATTTCTTGAAAAAGAGCAATGACAAGGATTCTTATTACTTATCTAGGTGACCTTCCATAACCGAGGGGATACACAGCTACACTAGTAACGCGAGGGCCTACGAAACGAAGTTTTTCTTCATTCGTTACGACGGCAATTGCCGCTTTCAGGACCAGAGTAGGCTCTTTTCCCTTGGCGAACTCATATAATTTGGAATGCGTTTTCTTTCTAACGACCTGTTTCTTTTCTAGCAATTAATAAGACGACCGACTTAGGGCTGCTCATGATCCGGATAGGATCGTATCTTTCGGCTTCCTGCCCGAAGCCAATCGCGACGCGAAGAAGCTCATGACAACCGTGAATCTGCGGAAATACGATTTCTTCAACGCAAACGCTTCTTTAGAGCCCCCATTGAGTAAGTCTTGCTAATTGGGTCTTTTCTGGTCGTGAAATGAATCACTTGCTAACTATGCCTACATGCAGCGACCATGCCTCCGAAGGAGTCAGAGCAGCTGCAACGAAGGCAATTCAATTTTCCTCGGTCAAGGAAAGCCAAGGCGACCGATGTTGCTCCTATCATTCCCCTGGCTGAAGGTGTAACATCGTGTTAGAGTAGATGCCCTAGAGCCAATCAATTATTGTAGAATTGACTCTTTGTAATAATGTTCATTAATCAATAAAAGGCATTTTATTCTATATCGCGTAAATCATTATTATTGCAATATGTATTGATATATGTCCTTAGAATGGTGAGAACCTGACGAGGGTATCAAGTTTTAAATCTGATAGTGAGAACCCTATGAGCACATATGGTGGCATTCTAGAAACGTCCGTAGCCAGTATATTCTGAACTAAGGGCACAGATAATACGGTAAGGCTATCATAGTGTTGAACGACCCGTCAAAGACAGTGACTGATTCACTTGTAAGGTGTTTGGTGACAACTGGTGCAACACAGGTTGTTGTTGTAGGCGATTACACCACAGAAGTTCACTGATGACACCCCAGAGGATTCCTATGGATGGAACCCAGTGTCTATGGAACAAATCCTCAACGAATGGTGGTGCATGTGATCCTTAGATTGGATCACCGAGTGCCTTGTGCACCGATGGGTTTGAGTTGACAAGCCTAACGCATTCTTTTCAGAGCTGTCAATACGGTGGTGATTGGTGCATCAAGAGTGTATCAAGACTATGGTGGATTGACAGAGGATCATCACTCCGGGTAGGGAGAAAGTTATCTCAGCGCAATTCAGTATATGGCAATGACACTAAAACTGTGGCCACAGTGGGATTGAGTTGTTGCTCTATCTAGTTTATTAAAGGGTCATTGGTCCAGAAACTGAATAAATAATATCGAGAGACCGAAGGTTGACACTATTTCTATGCTTCGTCTCATCGTAGAGATAACGTATGATGAAAGGACGAATTGCACGGGAACCATATCGTTGACAGGTAGCTACTTTGCGAATCCGAATCTATCGAGTGGCCATGATGCCTTGCTAGGGGCCAATCTTGGTCTGTGTATTAGTGAGACGATTAATTGGTATTAATCGCAATACTAAACACTGCCGTATGATGAGGAGCTAGAGTCAACACATAGAAGACAATTTAAGATGCAAGAAGAAAGAAGGGCATTTTTGTCTTTTAAGGCGAAAGGGATTTTGGTAATTTCACAGTGAAATTAAATTTGCTAAAGTCGTAGCCTTTATTTATTTGTTAGAAAAATTAAATAAGTGAAATTACGTTAAATATGTGTTCGCACATATTTAATATATTACATTATTTAATGTTAATATTATTAATATATATATATAATGATTTTAATTGAGATAATGATGGAAATTAAAATAAATCAAATTGGGAGTGTTTGGCAACAATGGGGCGTTTGGTTGAGCCCAAGCTATTCGTATGGGATTAGGGCAAATTGTTTTTAAATATAAAAGGAAAAATGTGTGATTTTGATAAAAATATATAGATTTTTCTTTGAAAAACAAAATACACACACCCCTCTGATAATTACACTCCATATTGGTAGTAACTTTTGTGTGCCTAAAATCAAATCAATTGATTTTGTTTTCTTCTTAATCTTGAAGCCAAAGAGGATCTAGCAAATCCCTCTTTGGTTCTTTTGAGATTGTCTTCGTGTGGACTACACAGGTTCGATCCTACACTTGGATCGGTAGCAAAGCGTTCGTCGACAAATTTGAAGGAGCCTTCAACGTGCGTTTGTTTCTCTTAACTCATGTTGAATATTTATGCAGATTTATTTAATATAAATTGTAAAATCATACCCTTGATCTTGGCTCATGTAAACGATCCCTGAGTTATATTATTTTTCATTTCCGCTGCATATACGAGACCGTTTACTAACACATCGGGCCCCTCGGTGTGACCTGCTAGAACTTCTCAGCCCCAACCTTCGGAGGACGCACCAATCTGAATCGTGAAGGCTTCCCAGCCATCGACTGCTCACCTGAGGCTAAAGACAATAGCTCAATGAGCGAAGAAGAAGAGAAGGCAGATTCAGGTCGAAGAGTTAGAGACCGAATCTGAGGGCGATCAACCAGAAAGGTCACAGTCGGACGTTTGGAGGAGGTCGGGTAAGGAACCGATGGGTAACATGACCCCTACAGAAGGCGCGAAGAAGGAAACCCCAATGCTAGACTCGCTGGGGAACTTGTCGGAGTACCTGCAGCTGATGGTCTACACTTTGCAGGAGTACGGACTCTCGGAAGCATTCGAGCAGTTCGTAGGTTCCAGCGACGTGGACCTGATGTCCATATCGCTCCAGCATTTAAGCAAGGTAAACGAACTGTCCTCGGTGAGGACTTCCCTTAGTTCCTTTCGATAAACTAACTTGCCATTTTTTCTTGTTCGCAGGCCTTGCTTTCCATGAAACTGTCCTTGGAAAAGGTTCAGTTGGGAGCTACAAAAGGGGAGGTCGCACTGAAGGAAGAGAACACAAAGCTCAAGCGAAGCCTGGAAGCCGTCAAAATAGAAAGAAACCTATCCTCTGAATCGGCGAACCGGTACCTGAGCGAAAGGGATGTGGCTCTTCGCACAGTGGACTTCCAAAAAGCAGAGCTCGAGAAGCATAGGGAGGAAATAAAAGAGCTTCAAAGGACCATAGCCAGACTCTCCAAGGAGGTGGGAGAGAGAGACCAAGAGCTTAAGGTGACCTCTCTGCGGGCCATACGAGCAGAACAAGAGAGGGATGCCTCTGAGAAGCAAAGGCAAGCTCTCGAGGTTGAACTTCAGGTAAAGTTGCTTCCCCGACCAAAAAGATGCAGAATCAGGCAGCGAAGGTTGAGGAGAAGGCTACCGAATGGGCAATCGAGTGTATCTATGCCTTGCGGCCGAAGAACCCGCATATTGATATGTCCGACCCCCCGGAGGATTGGCAGAAAACTCTCAGGTCCATGGCGTGGCAGGATGATGAAGCGGCAGCCGCCCGAAGATCCCCAGCCGACTAGCCTTAGGATGATGAGGTCGTTCCTCTAGGAGTTAGATCCAGGCTAACAGTTGTACCATTTTGCCTGCTATACTCTTTGCATTAATGAAATAAATTTTGCTTTTATAATTTCTGTTCGCTTTATTATACATGAGTTTACATTCTGATTGTTACAATATTGGAACAAGTCTATGTGAACATGATAACATATTTGTACGAACAGGATTACATGCAAAGACTATCACAAGCGAACATAATAATACTACACAAGGAAATAGTTTACAAAGATAAAAAAATAATCTTTACGAGGAAAACTGAGTTCGGAATTACTGGTAATAAGGTCGAAGATGCTTAGCATTCCAAGCTCGGGGTACTTTGGAACCATTCAGCCTTTTGAGATGATAAGTCCCCGGTCTTATCACTTTGTCGATGCGGTATGGACCTTCCTAGTTTGGTCCCAACACTCCTACACTTGGTTCTCTAGTACCAAGGAGAACTTCCTTTACTACAAGGTCGCTGACCTGGAAGTCTCTTCGTCTGACCTTCGAATCAAAGAACCTCTTCGCGCGTTGCTGATAGGCTGCTATTCTTAGCGATGCTTTGCTGCGATGTTCTTCAACAAGGTCTAGACTTGCTTTCATAAGCGCTTCGTTGTCGGCTTCATTATACAAGTCCCTTTGAAGTGAACCAGTTCATACCCCCACAGGGATCATCGCTTCGCAACCATATGCTAGCGAAAAAGGCGTTTCTGAGGTAGAGGTTCTCGGAGTTGTCTTGTATGCCCATAGGACTTCGGGGAGGTCATCGGCCCAATTTCCCTTGGCTGCGCCAAGTTTGGCTTTTAGAGTGTGCATGATGGTTTTGTTGACAGCTTCAACTTGACCATTTGCTTGCGGTCTTGTGATTGAGGCAAATTTTTTATGGATGCCCAGCTTGTCGTAAAACTGCTTAAACTCCTCGTTATTGAACTGTTTTTTGTTATCCGAGATAAGGGTATGAGGAATTCTGTAACAACACATAATATTCTTGAAAACGAAATCTTTGAGTTTCTTGGTTGTGATCGCGGCTAGCGGTTCGGCTTCCACCCATTTGGTGAAGTAATCTACTGCGACCATGACATATTTGACTCCCCCTTTACCGACTGGCATGGGACCGATGAGATCGACTTCCCACATGGAAAATGGCCAGGGGCTAGTCATTGTTATCAGCTTGTGAGAAGGAGCTCGCGGTATGTTCGCGAACCGCTGACACTTGTCACCTCTTGACAAAGTTGTAGGTGTCTTCTTGGATTCGGGGCCAATAGTACCCTTGACGAACAACCTTCTTCGCAAGAGATCGTGCGACGGTGTGATTATCGCATATCCCTTCCTGTATTTCCCTCATAATGTAATCTGCTTCGTCACTGGTTACACATCGGAGGAGAGGGGCACTAAACCCTCGCCTATACAGTTGGTCCCCGATGAGGGTGTAACGAGCAGATCTTGTTTGCAGAACCCTTGCCTCGACCTTGTCGTCAGGCAAGGTCCCATCTTTGAGGAATTGGAAAATGGGAGACATCCAAGAATCTAATTCTGTTACATTCACGGCCTGTTCGATCGGGCTGATTCTAGGGGCCTCGA